AGTTTTAGTGTATATAGACTATTTTCAAGAGCCTCTAACTTTAAACATAGGTACATAACCCATGGATAAAGTCTGATTTATAGATCAAATTCAGCAAAGCACTTCAGTATATGCTTAATCACAGTGAAGTCAATGTGAAGTTAAAGTTAAGCACATGCTTAAATGCTTTGATGACTAAATATGAACATAAGCACATTCTTAAATTTCCAAGGTCAGAAGGTTTCAGAGTGGTAGTTGTGTTAGCAAAAACAACAAGGAGTCCTTGTGGCACCTTAGAGACTAACAAATTTATTTGGGCATAAGCTTTTGTGGGCTAGAACCCACTTCATCGGATGCATGAAGTGAAAAATACAGGAGCAAGTATAAACACATGAAAGGATGGGGGTTGCTTTACCAAGTTTGAGGTCAGTCTAACGAGATAAATTAATTAACAACAGGATACCAAGGGAGGAAAAATAACTTTTGAAGTGGTAAGAGAGTGGCCCATTACAGACAGTTGGCAAGAAGGTGTGAGTAACAGTAGGGAGAAATTAGTATTGGGGAAATTAAGTTTAGGTTTTGTAATGACCCAACCACTCCCAGTCTTTATTCAGGCCTAATCTGATGGTATCCAGTTTGCAGATTAATTCCATTTCTGCAGCTTCACATTGGAGTCTGTTTTTGAAGTTTTTTTGTTGAAGAATTGCCACGTTTAGGGCAGTTATTGAGTGACCAGAGAGATTGAAGTGTTCTACTACTGGCTTTTGAATGTTATGATTCCTGACGTCAGATTTGTGTCCATTTATTCTTTTGCGTAGAGACTGTCCGGTTTGGCCAATGTACACGGCAGAGGGGCATTGCTGGCACATGATGGCATATATCACATTGGTAGATGTGCAGGTGAATGAGCCCCTGGTGGTGTGGCTGATGTGATTAGGTCCTATGATGGGTCCCTTGAATAGATATGTGGACAGAGTTGGCACCGGGGTTTGTAGCAGGGTTTGGGTCCTGGGTTGGTGTTTTTGTTGTGTGGTGTGTAGTTGCTGGTGAGTATTTGCTTCAGGTCGGGGGCGGGGCGGTGTCTGTAGGCAAGCACTGGCCTGTCTCCCAAGGCCAGAAGGGACCACTGTGATTATCTAGTCTGACCTCCTGTATAACAAAAGCCATAGATCTTCCCCAAAATATTTTTTAGAGATTTTTTTTTTAAATCCAATCTTGATTTTAAAATTGCCAGTGATGGAGAATCACCACAACCCTTGGTAAAGTGTGAAAAATTTACACCTGATTTCCAGTCTCAATTTGTCTAGCTTCAGCTTCCAGCCATTGGAGCATGTTATACCTTTTTTTTGCTAGACTGAAGCAAATATTAAATATTTGTTCCCATTGTAGGTACTTATCGATTGTAATCAAGTCACCCCTTAACCTTCTCTTTGTTAAGCTAATTAGATAGACTCAAGGAGATCAATAACTATAAGGCATATTTTCTAATCCTTTAATCATTCTTGTGGCTTTTCTCTGTACCCTCTCCAATTTATCAACATCCTTCTTGAATTATGGACACCAAAACAGGAGACAGTATTCCATCAGCAGTTGCACCAGTGCCAAATACAGAGGTAAAATAACCTCTTTACTCCTACTTGTGATTCCCCTGGTTATGCATCCCAGGATTGCATTAGCCCTTTTGGCCACTGTGTTGCACAGGGCGTTCGTGTTCACCTAAGTATCCATCACTACCCTCAAATCTTGCTCAGAGTCACTGCTTCCCAGGATAGAGTCCCACATGCTGTAAAGATGGCCTACATCATTTGTTTCTAGATATATACATTTACATTTAGCCATATTAAAATGCATGTTGTTTGCTCGCACCCAGCATACCAAACAATCCAGATTGCTCTTTGTCAGTGATCCTCTTCATTATTTACCACTCCCCCAAGTTTTGTGTCATCTGCAAATTTTATCAGTGATGATTTTATGTTTTCTTCCAGGCCATTAATAAAAATATTAAATAGCATAGGGCCAAGAACCAGTCTTTGCAGGACCCACTAGAAACACACCTCTTTGATGATGATTTCCTGTTTACATTACATTTTGAGACCTATCATTTAGCCAGTGTTTAATCCATTTAAGGTGAGCCATATTAATTTTATATCTTTCTAGTATTTTACTCAAAATGTCATGCGATACCAAGTCTAAGTATATTACATCAACTCTATTATCTTTATCAACCAAACTTGTGACCTCATAAAAAAAAAAAGATAAGTTAGTTTGACAGGATCTATTTTCCATAAATCCATGTTGATCGGCATTAATTTTATTACCTTCCTTTAATTTTTTATTAATTGAGTCCTGTATCAGCTGCTCCATTATCTTGCATGGGACTGATGTCAGACTGACAGGCCTATAATTACCTAGGTCATCCCATTTACCTTTTTTTACATTAGCTGTCTCCCAGTCTTCTTGAACTTCCCCAGTGTTCCAAGACTTTTTGAAAAGCAACATAGAATATCAGGGTTGGAAGGGACCTCAGGAGGTCATCTAGTCCAACCCCCTGCTCAAGGCAGGACCACTCCCCAGACAGATTTTTACCCTGGCCCTCTCAAGGAGTAAACTTACAACCTTGGATTTAGGAGGCCAATGCTCAAACCACTGAGCTATCCCTCCCCACAACATAAATGGTGCAGTGAGCTCCTCAACAAGCTTTTTTGAAATTCTTGGAGGTGAGTTCTCCGTACCTTCTGATTTAAAATATCTAACTTGTGTAGCTTCTAACATCCTCCCAAGATACCAGTGGAATGGAAAGAGGGCTATCATAGGCTATGACTACATCATCTGTTTTTTTCCAAATAAACAACAGAAATATTTATTGAACACGTCTGACTTTTCTGCATTATTGTTAATGCTACTATGTTCATCTTGTAATGGACAAATACCAATATCAGGATTCATTTTGTTCCTAATATGCTTTAAAAACTCCTACTTATTATCCTTAACTCTGTAGGCCAAAGATTTCTCCTTGTGTTCCTTTGCTTTCCCTATCGATTTTCTACAATTTTTAGCATCCAATTTATATTCATTATGTTCAACTTTACCTTTCTTTCATTTTATATATATATATATATATATATATATAAATAATTGTTATAGGTGCCTTCACGTCCCCTCTAAACAAGGTCATTTTTAACCAATATGGCCTTCCTCCTTGATTACTAGATACACAAAAACCTGTAGTTGCACGAAGTATTCTTAAACAATTCCCAATTATCATTCACATTTTTCTGATTAAATTCTTCCTCCCAGCTGCTTTGGCTCATAATTGTTTTAAGCTTCAAAAATTGGCCCTTTTAAAACACCAAGCATGTATATCACTGGTCTGGACTTTATTCTATTTGCACATTATAAATGTGATCTAGTCATGATCACGTCTACCAAAGTTACCATTAATTTTTAGTTTTGTGATCAGTTCCTCTTTATCTGTCAAGATGAGGCCTAATATAGAATCCCCCCATGTTGGATGCAACACTTTTTGAGTTAGGAAATTATCATCTATAATATTAAGGCCTGGTCTACACTGGGGGGGTGGGATGTCAATGTAAGATACGCAACTTCAGCTACGGGAAAACCGTAGCTGAAGTCGACATATCTTATTCCGATTTACCTCCCGTCCTCACGGCGCGGGATCGATGGCCTCGGCTCCCCCGTCGACTCCGCTACCGCTGCTCGCTCCGGTGGAGTTCCGGAATCGACAGGGAGCGCGTTCGGGGATCGATATATCGCGTCTTAACGAGACACGATATATCGATTCCAGATAAATTGATCGCTACCCGCAGATACAGCGGGTAGTCTGGACGTACCCTTAGAAATTTCAAGGATGTTTTAATCCTGACAGCATCAAAACTCCAGCTTATGTCACTCAAATTGAAGTTCCCCATGATCATATAACTTTTTCCTACACATTATAGATAGAAACGTAAGGCACCGGTTACCCTGATCCCTAGTGTAATTTGGAGGTATGCAGCAGACACCAACTACTATCCCATCTTGTGCTTTATCTGTTTGGACTTTGATCCATAAGCATTCAAGTTGATTGTCTTCCAAGTTATAAGTGACTCAGAAACAGGTAATGCCATTTTTGACATAAAGTGCCACTTCCCCTCCCCTTTTGTCCACTCAGTCCTTCCTAAATAGGTATTACCATTAATTTTAACCTTCCAATCATGGGAATCATCCCACCAGGTTTCAATAATACTAACTAGATTTAGTTTATGCTCATAAATGAGCAATTTCATTTCCCCTTGTTTGTTACCCAGGCTTCTACCGTTGGTGTATAGGCAATTCAAGAATTTCTTCTCTTTGTGTCCTTTTGTTCCTTGATTAATTTTATCAAAATCTCGATTTTGTGCTGAGTGCTCATATCTTCCCCTTTTTTTGCCCTCCCCTTTTGTTATTAGTTTAATGCCTTCCTGACTACTCTAGCTAGTCTGTCCCCACTGTGGTGGAGGTCTTCCAAACTATTCAGCCCCCTCTCCCTATAGAAGGTGGACCAGTGTTCCACAAAACCAAAACCCTGCACTCTACACCTCTTACTTATCTAACAGTTCACCTCCAGAATCTTCTGCATTCTGACTTCCTTTGCTCTTGGGACAGGAAAGATCTCTGAGAAGACCTCTTAGACATTCTTCTTCTTCAGCATGTTTCGGAGTTCCATAAAATTACCTTCTATCTGTGAGATATCATACGATGAAGGATACACATATAGTTTGCTTAATTGAGGCATATATCACTAAACTCAGCCTTCTTCATAGATTCATGGATTCTAAAGTCACAAGGGACCATTGTGATCATCTAGTCTGACATCCTGTACAACACATGCCGTAGGACTTCCCTGAATTAACTCCTGTTTGAAATAGAGCATATCTTCTAAAAAAAAAAAAAAATTCAGTTCTTCTAATATATACTCTTCTCTTTCTTTCATTATCACAACGGCCACTGAAACTTCCCTCCCCCCCTTTTCTTTATTACAGGTACTTTTCAGCATCCCCTAGAAAGAGGAATGAAGCTATTGATCCTTCTTCGGGCATCTGAGGGAGTTTATTGTGATCGTTTGGATGGAATCAGTGTCCACCCAGGAACTGTTGGTATGAAAAACATATTTGCTTTTTCATGGAAAAATCACATTGTGGAATAACCAGTCTACTGCTGTTGAGCCTGGTACTGCGTAGTGCCCCACCATCTATTTGCAGAAAAGTGCCTCAGTGAGAGAGAGACAGTTTTTAAGATGAAGCTAAGAAGAATATTTCCCATTCTACCCTTATAAAGCCAAATCCTGGAGACTTTATTCAGTATTTTTTTCCAGGCAAAATTCCACTGAAGTCTGTGAGAGGTTGCCTGAGTTAAGGACCTCAGGATCTGACTCATGGGTGTCATTTGATAAACCAAAGCTAAAGCTGAAAGGATGCAGAGTCACGTTGGGTTAATCTCTTTTCATAAAGCCACACGTTGTTTTCAGATTTCCAAACATAGATGTTTTCAGACATCCAAATTTGTCTGATCTTCTGGTTTCATAATGTTGTTATGTTTCTGATGGTGGTAGACCCCATTTTCTAATGTTATCTGTACAGACGTGTGCCTACTTATGGTGAAAGGAGGATGGATGACCCTGAAGCACAAAAATGGGCAACAGAAAATCTGGGCTATGAGCTATGTTCACAAAGGAACTTAGGCACCTAGAAAATGACTGGGATCCACTAAGCCTGAGTTAGACATTCAGGCTTCACATGAATGGAGGGAGCTAGGCACCTAAGAATGACTTCTACAAAAGCCAGCATGCTAGTCAGCTCCCCACCTAACCTAGCCAATTCAAGATGCCAACGAGAGGGGTTGCCCCACCAGTCCCAAAGAATTCAGCATCTATATGCTGGCTGAAGGGAGGTGCCTCCCTCTTCTTGGGATTCTCAGGAGTTAGGTGCCTATATTATTATTATTATTTTTTTTTTGCAGGCAATGATAGCAACCTCCTTTGGCCCAGTGGTTAGGGCACTCACCTGGTAGGTGAGATCCCTTGGTTCAGGGTGGGAGGGATTTAAACAGGGACTTGAAGCCTCTTAGGTGAGTCCCCTATCCACTGGCCTATGGGACATACTGATATTAGGCTCCCTCAGTCTCTCCTGTTGAAGCTTTTGTGCTCTGGATTAATAAATAAAGAATCATTGGAGAAAGGGGAATGAATCCTGGCTCTCCCACATCTTGGCTGAGTGCTCTAACCATCAGGCTCTAAAGTGATATTCTTTCTCTCTCTCTGGCCCATTGACTCTTTACGTATTTATCCAAAGTAGAAAAGCTTCAGCAGGGGACACTGAGGGAGCCCGGCATCAGAATATCTAATAAACCAGTAGTTTGACCTGAACTGAAATATTTCAATTTGTTGAAATGGTCCAAAAAGTTTCAGTTTGAGTCAGTTCACATTAAACTGTGTTTTTCCTTGTGGTGGCACTTTCCCTCATGGGTTCCCTGACTGAACTACATTTCCCATGATGCAATTCAGCCTCCCTTCTAACCAAGTGACATGGTGCATCATGGGAGATGTAGTCTGGCAAAGGAGCCTGGCCCGTAGGGGAGAATGGGGGCATCAGGCACCTGAACTGCAACTCCCATAAGGCAAGATGCCATCATAGGGAAATACAGCATAAGGTTGAATTGACTCTAAATGTTTCAGGTCAGTTCAACATTTGGGAACACTGAAATGTTTTTTTTAGTAGAAAGTGCTGAAACAAAATGTTTCACCATTTCCAAATTGAAATATTTTGCAATGCTTCATTATCTGAAAAGTTTCACTATTTCAATTTTTCATCCTGATTTGGAACAAAAAGCAAATGTTGAAATATCAAAATTTCCCACGACAGAAATTCTGTTGTTCAGTCAGTTCTACTATTATTATTATTTTTTTTAATGTAGTATTTACTTATGTACTTAGGTTAAGATGTTGAAAGCCAGTTTCATGGGAGTTCTGTGATTAAATGGTCTACTTGTCTTTGTAAGCTGCAGCCGTATTATTTTACTAATTACTTATTTCTAGTCCTGAATACGGGCAGTATTCACTTTGAAATTCAAATGAATGTTCATGTGATTCTCTCAGGTCTAGCTAGTCCAGGTGCAAAATGTATTGAAATCTTCAAAACTCTTTTGAACACACATGACAAATTTTTCCTTGCATTAAGCCATTAGCGCTCTGAGTTCAGCAGAAGTCCTGCTCCTTCCTTAGCTTTTGACTTTATATCTCTGTTCCAGGGGTTTATGGGAAGGTGCAGATTCATAGCGCTTACCCTAGGAAATCCTGGACACATCTTGGAAGTGACATTGCACCTGGCAATGAAAGGTGAGGTTTTGCCCAGACATGCCTCCAGGTAATGAATTTGGCTTTCTGTGTTCACTTCTGCTGTTGTGGTCACATCTAGAAGCCCCAGCTGAAATAAGGGTCCATTTTGCTAGTGTTACACATCCACTAGCCTCTGGATCCCTGGGTGTTTTAAGCCTCCAGATTCTGAACAGAGCCCACGCAGTGTCCCAGTTTTGGGTCCCCTAAGCACACTTGGAGTGCAGACTTCTCTGTCTAATGCTCCCTCCTAAGAGCTGTGACCGGACAGCCCAGCTGTCCAGCCTCTGGAACCAGTGCTGGCTCCTCTGACTCCCCCTGTAACTTAAACACACCCTCTCTCAGAATCCCACCAAAGACGCAAGCCTTCTCGGACTCTCAGGAGGCACATGGTAGTTGTGGCATATCACGCACACAGATGTTTTGCACAGAGGTCTACAACTCTGCTGCTCTTTACTTAGAAATACACAGGTCCATACAAAAATAATAAACCCTATCTGCATTTCCCCTCACTGCAGCTCACCGTTCCCTTGGGGGTACTTGGGGGACCATCTGTATTCAGGAAGTCAGGGTCCAGCCCTCCCACCCCAGCCTTATCTGGCTTCTACAGCAGCTTCCTTCACCATAAGCTAGTGAAAATGGCCAAAGAGAGAACAAAGAGAGCAACTTCTGTCCTGTATTACCTACCAGTCTCCTGTCAGGTGACTCCCTGGTCAGCCTCAGCAGGTGACCACAAGACAGATCATGGGTTGGAGAAAGAAGTGTTATCATCCCTGTTTTAGAGATGGGAAACAGAGGCACAAAGAGATGAAGTGAGTTGTCCATGGTCATACAGGGAAATCGTGGCACAGCAAGAAATTGAACTCAGATCTAACAAGTCCCAATCCAATGCCGTAACCACACATTTACATACTTTGTCTTTTACGTTTGCCTTTCTTTAGTGTAAAGCAGGTTAGTAAAGGCTGATGCAGTATATCAAAGTGGGACATTTATGAAAGAGGATGCTGAAGTCAAGGAGAAGTCATGGGTTTTCAGATAAGATTTGATGGGGATCCCTTACAGTGGATGCAGAGAAACAGTTCTGATAGTGGTGGGCATAGTACAGGATTTATTACCCACTGAGGAGACACTATGAGGAAGGAAATCTTGTTATTTAGGAGCATAGAGAATGGACCAGAGAACAGGCCTCAGGTACCATAGTGACGGTAATGGTAAAAGAACTAAAGCTGGTCAGAAAATGTTTGTTTTGTTTTTTCCTGTCAAGATTCATATGAAAACCTAACATTGTTTTGGTTTTCAGAGAAAAATGTTCAGTTTTGTCATTTTTCAATGGAAAAAAAAGGGTGAGAGGAAGAATGGTCCAATGGTTAGGGCACTAGGATTTAGGGTTCAAGTCCCTGCTCTGCCACAGACTGCCTGTGTGACCTTAAGCAAGTCACTTAGCCTTTCTGTGCTTCAGTTCCCTGCCTGTTAAATGGAGATAATATCATTTCTCTACCTCACAGAGTTATTGCAGTAAAGATTATGAAGCTCACAGATATTGTGCTGATGGGGCCCTGTAAATACCTAAGGTAGATAAAACCCCAAAAGACATTCCCATTTCAACAAAAAAGCCATTTTCAGTCAAAAATAACTTATTCACATACAATGTTTGAGCAGTTCTAATAAGAACCTAGATTGCCAGGAAGAAATAAGATTAGATACAGGACATGGGCAAATCAATGGAAGAACTTTAAGCTAGGGGAAGGGTTTTTATATTGAATAAACTGAGTTACAGTAAGTTTCTGAGTATTGTAGGCTGCATTTCAATTTCCAACCATGAGTCAGCAATGCGTCAGAGGAGAGCTGACAACTAAAAGGAGGAATTACTTAATTAGTTAAGATGAGAGAAATGAAAGCCTAGCTCAGTATTTCAGCAGATTAGTGGCTGAGATGATGGCTCATGCAGGCCATGTTTCTCATCCGACTTTCTGTATTCCTCTTATCAAACTTCTTAGAAATATATATGTCAATGTACTAAAGGAGGTGGGTTTATATACCTTATTGGGTATTCTTTGCTAGTTTTGCCGTGGCAAGATTACTGATCTCTTTCAGGAATTCCACAAATATAGCCTTTCTCATAGCTTAAACAGCATATCACTTAACTTTTGTGGGGTTACAGGATTTGGGTCGAGGATGAAGTGGACTGGAGTCCTGGTGGAAACATTGTCATCAGTTCCTCCTCCTATGACGCTCACCAAGCTGAGGTGGTCACACTTAAAGAAATAAATGGTCACAGCATTAGATTCCAGGAACGTCTCCTCCACAGGCATATTGGTAAGAAATCTGTTATATATAGCACCTGCCTCCCCTTTATCCTTCTCCACATTCTTACTACTCATGGTGTGAGAGCCTTTGCTTCTGCAGCTCTGATATCTGGCCCAGACTTGCCTTAACTGCCCATTTTAGATCTCCCTGTGAACCTACATTCCCGACCCCCACTCCTTTCTTCATGCATCTTCATTTCTTTCTCTATTTGCTGCTTCATGCTTGCATTATGTAGCAGGTGGGAAGTTCAAAGCTGCTCAGCATGGGGAGTTTTACTGTTAACTTCAGTGGGAGCGGAATTAGGCCAGTGCTGACTGTTTTTGAAAATCCCAGGTTCTTTGTGTGTACGTGTAACAGAGATGGTTGAAATAAAGAGAAAAAAACCCTGTGATTTTAAGGGGAAAATTGTTGATTTCTTTTATTTGAAATTACAGAAAATTTGGACCACCACTCTAGTTAGTTGAAAAACAGGGTGAACATTTCACAAAAACTTTATTTAAAAAAATTAAATTAAATTGAATTTCAAACCTTGAAAAATGACTATAAAATACATGTATATGTAATATATATACACAGATATAAAATATGTATAGAAATATGTATCTACCTACAGAGATAAATGTATTGTTCATAGTTTACTTATATGTTATTTATATAACCTAGTCATATTATTAATTCTGTAAAGCATTTTATAGTATATTTGTATAGAAGATGTTATATAAAATCAAGATCATTAGGATCTCAAGATTTGGCCCACTGATAATAAAGTCAATGGGACTCCTCCTGGTACAGTAGTAAGTTTTATGCCTGGCAATAAGTATTTGCAAATCTGGGCCATTGTTTTTTACTTAGTTCTTACTCAGGCTAACTTCCATTCAGGTCAATAATAAATTAAATGGATCAGAACTATTGTGAATGTTTCCAGGGAATCCTGTGGCATAATATCTACATCCATCTTCATCCTGAGCATTGCAGCAATATCTGAGTATTGTTTGGCAATAAGGGGTTAGTGTCAGAAGTAAGAAAGAATGAATAACTAAATAAATATAGTGTCATAGATAGATTGTCAGGAGATTCTTTCTCCATGTGATACGAAGGCACTCTTAGGGCTTGTCTACACTACCGCGCGCGGTCGATCTAAGATATGCAACTTTAGCTACGTGAATAGCGTAGCTGAAGTCAACATATTTAGATCTACTTACCGCGGTGTCTTCACTGTGGTAAGTCGATAGCTGGCGCTCTCCTGTCGACTCCGCTTGCGCTTCTCGTTCTGGTGGAGTACTGGAATTGAGGGGAGATTGCTCAGTGGTCTATTTATTGCGTCTATAGTAGATGCGATAAATCGACCCCTGCTGGATCGATCGCTGCCCGCCAATCCGGCGGGTAGTGTAGAGAAGCCCTGAGTGACTTATGCTTGACTCGGAGCCATTCACCTCCTTGGTTCAGCAGAGCTTGGATTTACTGTTTGCCCAACTAAAGACTCATCTCTTTTGTCTCACTTTTCAGGAAGGGACGGGTGTGAGGAGCACGGGGTGGTAGGGTGACCAGATGAGAGGGAGAAAATATCGGGACACATGAGGAGGGTCTGAGTGCTGCCGGCAGAGCAGCGAGAGGAAAAAAGAAAAAAAAAAGCTGAGTGCTGCCGGCGGAGCAGCGAGAGAAAATAAATAAATAAATAAATAAATAAGGCGAGTGCTGCCGGCGGAACGAAATATCGGAACAAATTGCGTCCCGACCAAAGATCGGTCAGGGCACGGGACAAAGACCTAAATATCGGGACGGTCCTGATTTTATCGGGACGTCTGGTCACCCTAGGGGGTGGTTGGATGAGGATAGTTATTTGTGGTAGGATGATGTTTAGATAGCTATGGTTTATCTTAAGAGGTGGTCAGATCTTTTTATTATAGTTATTATTTGGGCATTTTAAGATTTCTTCGGGCATAGTGGAACTCGTTTGTAGTTAGCCCATGCAGAGCCAAACTTCACTTTTGGCTGGATAGAATAAAAGACCCCATTGTTTCAATGCATTGCAGTATGTTTCATTTATAGTGAACCTCTGCTTGTGGGCTTGATGCTGCAATCCTTACTCCAGGAGAAGTGACACTGAAGCCACTTCGGGTGTAATCCCATCTCTACGGAAGTCAGTGGGAGTTTTGTCATTGACTCCAGTAGGGCCAGGATTTCATCCTTTGAGTTTTACTGCGGTAAGCAATTACAGTTCCATGAAACCATCATTGAAATTGCTAATTATAGGTCAAAGGAAGTTTGCCTGCGTAAGAAGAGCGAGCAGGTCTTCTGCACTGGGGGGAATATCACCCAACAGGACCAAAGACCTTTACTCTATTTAAACCTCGTATTAAGGACTCAAGTGAAAATTAAGCATTGGTCAGGGCCTTGTGTGGACCTTTTCTACTGGTGTGAATTTCCTCCTTAGAAAGACTGTGTTCTTAGAGTGTTGTATTGTACATGCAATCTTAGTACAAGGTTTTTATAGTAAATTGGTTTTTAACATCATCACCAGGCTGATCACTATGTGAATTCATAGCCCCAGGGAAGAGATCAGTTCCTTAGTGCAGCACACTAAGGTATTATGTCTCCTGCTGATATAATTCAAGAAAACGGAGTTGGAATCTGTCCGTCAGTTTGGCATGTGGTGGTCCCAGTGAACAGGTTTAGCATTCGCCTTTACTGGGAACAAAAGGATGTTGGTAAAATACACTCTCATCCCAAATAGGGGCAAGCAGGGAGCTGTTTCTCTTTGCTGGTGCTTGCAGAGAGCCCCTGAGGAAAATCAAACCTGAAAGGCAATGCAACTTCTGAGAGGAAGCCACACATCAGTTGTCAGACGAGACATCCCCAAAGCGTTGGTTACTGAAACATCCAAGACATTCATCCTGTTTTCTCTCCTTGAAATGCCACAGGGCGTTCCCATAGCATAGAAGATGGCAGACGTGTTCCGTTGGCTGCTGAGGTTGGGCTCCTAACACGCAACATACAGATTAAGTCAGACATGGCTTGCTCTGGGAGGCTTCTGGTGGGACGCTTCAGAAATACCAGTGGAACGGAATTTGCAGGTAGTTGAAACTCACCCACTCAGTCCCATCCATATCAGTCCATCACAAATATCCTGTCCAGAACAGATCAGGATGCTTTCAGGAGCAGGGGTTGTAACTTCTTTTATGGGTTGTACAATCTTGAGCACATAATGAGTGCTCAGCAAATAAGAAACATTAACAGTAATAAATAACTTTAAAACATTCAGATTTTAATAGCACTTGTTCTTGTTTTGCAAACAAATGCCTGTTTTTGGCATTTTATTTATTTTCTTATTGACAAAGGGGGTCATACAAGCCAATCTACCTGTAATCACCCTTTCATCTCACTTCATTTACCACACTATAGGTGACCTTCGGCTCTCAAACATTGAAATTCTGAACTTTGGACCATCACAGCTTCCTGCCATTGGCTTCAGTAACATAGCTTTGGGATCCTCAATTATCTCTTCCAGCATTCACCATAGCTGTGGGGGTGGCATTCAAGCAGTGACAAGCAGTGGAATCTCATTGCGTGACAACGTGGTGTTCAACACGGTTGGTCCTGGCATTGACTTGGAAGGCCAAACCCATTCTCTCATCAGGAACCTTATCATTCTCAGCAAGCAGCCAGAGGGGTTACCAAACTGGGTTGCTGGCATCAAAGTGAACAAAATAGATGGCTCTTACCTGCTTGGCAATGTCGTGGCAGGTTCGGAGCGTATAGCCTTCCACATCAGAGGTCAAGAATGCTTCCTAGCTGGAGAGTATTGTGCTGAAAATGTGGCCCATTCAAGCCTTCATGGTGTTCATTTATACAGAGGAGATGGGTTTCAAAACTGCACCAAAATCACTGGTTTTCTGTCCTACAAGAATTACGACTATGGAGTCATGTTCCAGCTTGAAAGCAGTGTAGTGATGGACAATATGATGCTAGTAGACAATGCTGTGGGTGTTCTGCCAGTGGTGTACAGCCCATCTGCTAAGCAGTATCGTTTGGGGAAAAAATACATAGAATTTAGAAACTCTGTCATTATTGCAACAAGCTCAACTTTTGACTGCATTAAAGACAGGATCATGCCCCTTTCAGCTAACTTGACTTCCAGGGATCGAGCTCCATATTATCCTCAGAGAGGTCGCATTGGGATTCTGTGGCCTTCATTTGCCTCTGAACCAAGCCAGTGGCCTGATAATCCATGGCACAAAATAAGAAATTATGCAGCAGTATCAGGAATCATGAAGCTACAAGGTTGGTCTTCCTTTTGCATTACCCCAGTGTCCTGGTGAAAACCCATCCCAGGTAATTACATTCTGCCTACTTCAAATCCACCCTCCCCGGCAATCTGAAATGGTTACAGTGGGCGAAATCCTGACCCCATTGAAATCAATAGCAAAACTCCTATTGACTTTAGTGCAGCCAGGATATCACCTCGTATTCTGCAATTCCTGGTCAAACTGTTGTGCAGTGTTGCCATATGCTATTAAATATCTTCCACATTCCACCCCAAAGACATCTGCATTTCAGTGCTTGGTGAAATGATTTCTGAATTTGATCCATCTGTCTGATATATTGATATCTATGTCTAGACAAGGATACCGAGTCAGTGAAGGGTTTTACAAAATTAGTTTACTATGTACAAAGTTTGCAGTGCTTTGTGATCCTTTTTAATGCAAGCTGATAAATAAAAGTAGGACCATTGTTGTTATTTTAATGAAGAAGAAGAATAACAAATGACTTTAGAGCAGGGATCAGCAACCTTTGCCACGCGGCCCATCAGGGAAATCCACTGGTGGGCTGGGATGGTTTGTTTACCTGCAGCATCCTCAGGTTCAGCCAGTCGCAGCTCCCACTGGTCGCGGTTCGCCATTTCAGGCCAGTGGGGATTGTGGGAAGTGGCGTGGGCCGAGGGATGTGCTGGCCGCCGTTTCCCGCAGCCCCCATTGGCCTGGAACAATGAACCGATGCCAGTGGGAGCTGTGATCAGCCAAACCTGCAGACGCTGCAGGTAAACAAACCATCCCGGCCCACCAGCATATTTCCCTGATGGGCTGCGTGCCAAAGGTTGTCAATTCCTGCTTTAGAGGAAGGCTGTAAAACCCTTGCTATAGACTATTACGCCCTTTCTTTCCTTGAGTCCTCGGTTTAAATGCAATGGACATGCCAAATGATATTTTATTATTTGCATTACCATAGCAGCTGGATATGTTTCAGATCTGTCCAGCTTAGGTGCTTATGTCACCCCCATTATCATAGTATTTGAGCCCTTCACAGTCTTTAACCTGACAACATCCCTGTGAGAGAGGGATTATTAGGAACTGTTATCCTCATTAGAGATGGGGAAATGAGGCACAGAGAGACTAATTGACTTGCCCAAGGTCACACAGAAAATCTGTGATAGTGGAGGGACTTGAACGTAGATCTTTCCAGTCCCATGTTAACCACAGGACCACGCTTTCTTACAGGTCAGGGTTGAAATACTTTATCAGAGTTGGTAGGGGTGACTACCTGTCCGTCTGCATTAATCCTGGCTCTAATTTAGTCTTTCACTTTCATGGGCATTATAATTCACTTAAAAAGAAGAGAGAAGCCACAAAAAAAGGGTTAAATACATTTTTAAAATGCACTTCTTGTTCTTATTCAAAATAGCCCTTTACACATTCAAGATTCTCTACAGACATTAGTTAAGTAATACACCTGACCACTCCATGTAGTAGGCAAGTTCCATAGAGAGGGGGATACTGACTGAGTACAGAGAGATGAAGTGACTTGCTTCAGTTCACACAGCTGGTCCATGGCAGAGCCACGTCCAGGCTGTGTGTATATCAGAAAAGTTGCCCCAGTGCAACTAAATCAATTTAAAGTTGGTCTAATGACACGAGTGCAAACTTCTTATGTAGACACTCTTAAGCTTGGTTAAACTGTGGTTCTGTTGATTTAGTTTAAGCAAGATTTAAACTTATTTACATATTTGGGAATTGCACTGATGTAAGTAGACTGATTTTAAACTGGTTTACTTACCCCAGAGCAACATTTCTAATATAGACAAGGCCTTATGATGCATGGCTCAGATTCCCATCCCTGAAGAAAATTCAGCCAACCTCTCCCAATGAGATGTGTTTTTATCTTTGTCAGAAGTCACCTTTACTGGTTTTACGAAGAGTTGCTATAGTGACGACAGAGATGTCTGCATTATGTCAAATCCTGACAGCGTGGGCATCATGTACCCAATCACAGCAGAGATGACAAGGATGTTACATGTCCATGAGCAGAATAAGTTCTACTTTCATACACTGGAAACAAGGTAGTGTGCTTTGTTCTTAATAAGTAGTCTCGTCCCCCAAGGTTTATAGTGAATATGCATTACTAATTACATGACTAGTCATATCTTTATCTATCTATACCTCACTACACAATCTACACTTTCTATTACTGGTTACATCTATCTTCAAAAAGATTAATTCTTTCATTAGGAGTGATGGGATGAGAATTTAAGCTAAAGATGGGTCTAACCCAGAACCTAGATTCAGTACCTCCAGACTTCGGGGATGTAGGGTTTTCAAAATCTGAACTCAGGTGCAGACCTGAGTGTTATAAAATAACCTAATTTCTACAGTGGGTTGAAATCAAAATTGTGGATACAACTATTTTTTTTGGTCTATCTGTCCCTCTACTCTTTATACTGTTTCTGTCTGGGACTAGACATGTAAGAGCCTGGATCTTTCACAAGGTTGTTTTTCCCTATTGAAATTTGAAGACGTAGAGTCTGGATAGTTCATTAGATGTTTCTCCAAATGAAGCCTCCTGGAGTTCTCCTTTTGCTAGCATCTGTGTAGCAAAAGTAGCTTCAGGTAGTCAGTGTCTTTATTTTCTGTCCACATAGCTGACTCCTCAACTCCAGGCCTCAGGACATGTCAGGAGCTCCAGCAAAAAGCCATGAGGTGGCTAAAGTGTCCTTTTTGTATGGGAAAATGCGTTTGATTTTTGCCTGTGAGATCACATCAGCAGCGCTGAGTGGAACCAGGCAGACTGTGAGATGTCAGATGTGTGCCAGTCTATCTCATGCCCAGAGAGCATATCTGCTGAGCATAGTAGCACAGAGATCAGGAAGAAAGAGCAGGTTTCAGCAGTTCAAACGTGCAGAGTCCATGGGAAACGTGGGCTGGTTGATTTATTTGTACAGCTGGCTACCGGAGTACGCAGGCATTGTCACGAAAGCTTTGCTGCAGCACTGAAGCCCAACGTGAACCCCAATTGCCAGTCAAAACCAATCAGAGGTGTTCCATGCTGCTCCAATCCAGAGCCCCTCAAGCAAGCTGCCAGTGCGTTTTTTTTTTTTTTGCTCTGGGCATTAGTTTGTGTGTGGATTTCTGTGAACGGACCAGCTCGTCAGTTCCCATTATATGTCACTATTGAATCCAGTCCACAGTATTACGCTATTTGTGACTGGCTGCACACACAATGCATTGCAAAAGCTGATAGTTATCAAACGTGGTCGATGGACATACAGAATACAAGGTGATTTCTGAGCATCCTGCCAAACCTCTGGGTAAGGTTCAGACTTTTATTGTTGCTTCTGGAGCCTCTGCAGACATTTATGAAACCCAAGCTTTTAAAAACCGTGGGTCAATTTGTGGCCCATTCTATGGCCTCATTGTGCTGCTTCTGCCTTGCAAAAGAGCCATAAAGCTACCCTGGAGCAGGAGGCAAGACAGGGCATGGCGAGAGCACGTCGCACTGTGGTGATCATCGGCCAGAATAAACGCCCACTGGTGGCAGTAACAAGCTGGAATGATGGCTGTGCTAAGATATGCCAGGGCTGAACCAGCCCCGGGGGATCTTCGTTCCCCATCTCTCGAGCTGTGCTGAGTAGAGCTTTGATCCAATTGTTTCCCTGCCCTATTAAGACACCGATCGGTTCACCCTGTTCGAAACACCAATCAGTGGGCTTTGCGTAAGGGAGTTCCACAGAAATCAAGAAATCAGACAGATCGCAGAGCATTGTTTCCTTGTGCTCCTCCATCTGTCCGCATCCATCTGTTGTCTCTTGTCTTATACTAAGATTATGAGCCTCTTGGGGCAGGGACCATCTTTTTGTTTTGTGTTTGGACAGCAGCTGGCACAATGAGATCCATGACTAGGGCTCCTGGGCACAATAGTAACTCAAATAATAAATATCAATAATAGAGATGAGCGGTATTAGAATCCATGACACTCTGCACTCCTGGGAGGGGTACGGCTACTTGGAGTTCCAGACCTAGTGATCAGTTTCCTGCCTTTCCTGCTGTATGTCCCTGCAGTACTCCAAAAGATGTTATCTAGTGGTACACACACCAGCTACCAGGATGTCCCTGGCTCCTTCTTGAACCATTATTCTTTGTAAGATTTCCTCCCAACAGCAGGTGCACTCGAAGCTTGGCCCACGCTCTCCTGAAACTCAGCCCAAGTTTGCTGAGATTCATTTCAAAAGAACATCCAGAACCAGCTTGGGCCTACTTTCAGTTTTTGTTAGTCTCTCCAAACTCTAGTTTGGAGCCATTACTGTAGAATTCTGTCACCTTTATGTATCTTATCTCCTAGAACTGGAAGGGACCTTGAAAGGTCATCAAGTCCAGCCCCCTGCCTTCACTAGCAGGACCAAGTACTGATTTTTGCCCCAGATCCCTAAGTGGCCCCCTCAAGGATTGAACTCACAACCCTGGATTTAGCAGGCCAATGCTCAAACCACTGAGCTATCCCTCCCCCTACTTACATGTATGTAAGTAAGTAAGTAAGCATGGTTTAATTCAGTTCTGAAGAGTTGAACCTACAGGTAAAAAAGACCTGGGCATTTCTTGGTCTGTAGATAGAACTGTATTGCATAGCCATTTTCATCCTGCTACGAAGGATACAGGCGTTACAAGCCTGTGGATACTGATGAGTGGCTCCTGAGGCACTATGGTTCTCTGCAGTGTTGAACTGTTTGATGAAGCAAAATCAGAATATCCCTGAGATTTATGAGGATGCTCGGATCTGGATACAAATTTTGTGGCTAGTCTTTCCCTCCGATGAACGGAGCCAACCCCCTGAGGGGCTATTGCCCCTCCCACAGAGAGGTGAATGGGAATTAATTGTATCCTAGAGGGCAGAAGCAGGCTTCTGAGTCTGATCACTGCCAGCATTTGGGAGGTTGGGATCCAGATCTAATTTTTGTGGGTTGGCCCATCCATGATGAAAACAAATATTGCTGCAGAATTTCATGATGATAGAGCAAGTCAGACCTGCTCCATATCATCAGATTTCACCAGTTATCCCTTATTTCCCTTTCCCCCTTTTTAACAAGGAGGTTAATTCACATGAATGTCGTGGTAATTTGTGTATGTAAAAAAAAATGCATTTTCCAGTGATGAAAATAACTTCAGAAGGCCAGTACAATGTGATTTCTCTCGCTGTCTTCCCAACAATAATACTCCTCCTCCTCTCCATCAGTATCAATGGATCCAAGGACTTTGAATATCTTGAGATGAGATGTGAAGGCTCAAGAAAGGCTCTCTTCAAGGATCTGGATGGAAGTGCCCTGGGCCTACAGCCACCTGTGTCAGTTTTCCCAAAGTCTAAGTTTGAATGGACAGAGTCCTGTTTGCACGCTGGTAAGTAGCACATGAAGATTGTGCAGTATCTGAAAAATCTTGCTAAACCTGGGGTAATGCATTGACTAACCAGTCTTGGGATACATACCAGTGGGTTGTCATCCTCTGGGGTCCTGAACACCTTGTGGGCTTAGATTCCACGGCACTTCTCATTAAAGGAGGCTGCTTTATATATTGATCAAAGGAAGGGCTTGGGAATCTGACCTGCTGTGGGGTGAGGCACTTACCCCTCTGTGCTTTAACTGATCTCTCTGTCAAACCAGGGTGATTATATTTACCCATTTGCAAAGTGCTTTGGGATCCTTGAATGAGAGGTGCTGTATTAGGGCAAAATAATAATAATAATTGTCCCAGTGAGGATTTTTATTCATTTCCTGCTGAAGAGCGTATCTGGCTGAAAATCCAGGCCAGCAGTTTCGAGAGTACTTTCTCTTGTTTAAAAAGACCCATCTTGCTCAGTAACCGCGTTCTGCAAGTTCACACAGCAAGGTTCCATTCTCATCCTGATTAAAACTCTGCTCTGTGATTTCAAATAAACTCTTTAATTACAATTAGCATTTCCCGAGCCTGCTGCTGACGGCGGCCATTTTGCAGAAAAGTCGCATCATTTGTGACTCCGGCAGTATGGGAGGCTCATGCGAGGGACTGTAATTAATCCCATTTTCTATCCTGTGCTAAAATTGATTAAACACAAGAAGAACTTTAATCTTTAAACAAAATGTCTAATGTGTACCCGGTAAAGGCTTTCCTCTAAGGATCCCTCCCTCACTGGCTGCTTAGAGGGCTGATTAATACATTGTCTAGGCATAAACATGCTCTTCTCCCCCCTCCCCACTTTCTCTGCCCTGGTTATGAATCAAAAGCCAATGCTAATCTCTCAGTAGACACTGCTGCATCATTTGCCATTTAGCACTAGCTTATTAAAGCATGCATGCGCACATAGTTCCCGATCATTTTTAAGATTTGTACCATTTTTAAAGATACTCAGGCACATAGTAGTTATAAATACCAGGAAACCCCACTGCACTAATGGTGCAACCTGCACTCCACGGGGTTTGTCTCCTTATGTAATGAAGTTGACAACATATGGTAAATGCTGCCTGCCTCCTAGGCGAGAACAGAATTGTGGTGTTTTCCTCTCATTGCCCAAATGTGAGTGGCATTTTTTTCCTTCCCGATTCCAGCCTTAATCCCTGAGTCTTTCTCTTTCAAAACTGCAATTCCCTTTGTCTTCAGGCTGACATTTGGAAAGGCACAGGTTCATTTGGAGGTGAATTCATAGTTCTCTGTAACACAGAATACTTTGGACAGTGTAATGTCCCTAGCCTCTGTCTGTCAGAGGATGGAGATGGATGGCAGGAGAGAGATCACTTGATCATTGCCTATTAGGTTCACTCCCTCCGGGGCACCTGGCATTGGCCATTGTCGGTAGACAGGATACTGGGCGAGATGGACCTTTGGTCTGACCCGGTACGGCCTTTCTTATGTTCTTATGTAATGGAGGCTTCCACGCAAGACAATTACGGTCAAATCCAGATCTTGGTCATGACCACAAAACTCCCATTGGGCCAAATTCTACCTCAGTTATACTAATATAAGGATGGATTAATTCCACTGAAGTTAATGGGGTTATTCCAGATTTATGCTTGTGTAACCAAGAATAGAATTTGGCTCTTGGAATTCTGTCTCTCTTGATTCCAGATTGCAGAGCTCAGCACTTAACACTGTTCAGTTAATCACCACCCTCTGTGCCTCCTACTAATATTCACCTGTTACTTAACTAACACCCAGTTATTCTGCTCACCTCCAGTGGCTTTATGCCCAGACTGCTGCCTGCAGTTTTTAACCCTATGCTTACACCTCTAAGCACATACCAGAGGAGCTAGCATCATCAGGTAATATGCAGCATCCCTCCCACTCTCTGCTCAGGGACATGTGCTTTCCCAAATGCAGTGTGGCACACACCCTCACTAACCCTCTGCATCCTCTGAATTTGTCCTTCAGCCATAATTTTTCAGAACCTTCCAATTGGGGGTGTCCAGTTTGAAGATGTTGGCCCCAGCCTTTGCCTGTCACACACTGAGGTGCAGGCAGTGCAATCTAGTGGTCAGAGCAGGAGTCTGGCATAGTGGTCGGAACAGAATCAGAAGGCAGAACTGGAGACAAGCCAGTGGTCAGAGCTAGGAGTCAGGAGTTCAAAGGCAGGCAGGCTATAGGGCTGGAGCAGAGCTGGGAAGGGGTAGAGCAAGGACTGGACAGGAAACAGGTCTGGTGCATCTGCAGGCATGGAGTGCATTGAGCAGCCACAGTGGTGCTGTGGCTGCAGGGCTTAAATGATGGTCGGTTGGCTCTTCTGACCAATCAGGGAGCACAATCACTTAGTGAGGGTTTAGTGGGCCTAGCCAAGCTCATTGGGTTACTAGGCAACTGAGACCGGAGGCGGCTGAGTTCCTGACATTCCCCAAAGATCCTACTCACCATAAAAGGAAAGCTAAAGGCAAAATACCCTTCACCCTTCAAGGTCAGGAGACCCAATGAATGCAACCCAGATATTCCCCCGCTCCCCACACACACACACAATAGTGCTGTAGGCTCTGAGTTGGTGGGTTCTCTTTAATGGGCGTACAATTGAACGGCTCAATGGGAGGTTAATTCTATTTCTTATTTAATCCACTCAGTAACTTCAAATATTTGAAATGCGGGGCATGGGATGGATCTCATTGCTTACTTGTGCTGTCCCATCCCATTTGTTGCATCCACCTGTTTTTTTCCTGTCTTACACCTAGATTGGAAGCTCTTTGGGGCAGGGGCCATCTCTTTGTTCTGTGTTTGTACAGCACCTAGCACAATGGGGCCCTGTTCCATGGCTGGGGCTCTAGGCGCTGCCTTAATAGAAATAATAAATAACAGAATCATTGGCTAATAATGTACAAATACTACACAAACATTAACCAAAACCTTCAACTTACATTGCACCATTCAACATGTAGGAAGAAGGAACTGTGGTCCCCAACAGCTAGGGCACTAGCCTGGGTTTCATGAGACCTACATTCAGTTCCCTGCTCTGTGACAGACTTCTTGCGATTTTACAACAGGCACGATGTAGTTTGTACATCTAATTATTTTGTGTCTCCAAAGTGCCATCTCTCCATGGTGGTTATACAACTTCCATTACCATAGTATCTGAGCACCTCCCAATCTGTAATCCGTTTGTCCTCACAATGCCCCAGTAAGGTAGGGAAATGCTGTTAGCTCCCTTTTACAGATGTGACACTGAGGCCCAGAGAGACTAAGTGACTTGCCTATGGTCATGCAGGAAGTGTGTGGCAGAGCAGGGAATTGAATGTGGGTTTCCCGAGTCCCAGGCTAATACCCTGTCTATTGGACCATTCTTCTAGCTCCTATTTCTTCTTGTTATTTGAAGACACACTCTGGGCCTTTTTGAACTTGAAATAAAATAGACTGATGAAAGTAGTGTGAACACACACATGTTGGCTGTGAGTGCGACCTGACACAAAGATTAATGCAAGAACAAATGCCAGTGGTGAGCAGGGTATGCTGACTGCCTGGCTTCAAAATTGTTCTTGGCTTTATGCGGCCAGCTCTTGAGAAACTTTTTTTTTTTTTAACTTTCTTCATTCTCCTCCTAGGAATGGCAGCGAGATGGTGTTATAGACGGAGAAATGAGGGGGTGGAGTGGGGAACAGAGAAAGGAAATGGTTGTCAGAAAATTTGTCTGCCAATATCTGTGCTTGCAGAGGTCTTTTTCTCTTTCTCTTTAGCTAGAGGGGAAAATACCATTCTCTTTTCCCAAGCAATTATAGGCCCAAAAGATTGAAACTTACTCTACGGCTCTTTAATCTCAGCAGATATTTATGGTTAAACATTAGACTTGGAGCATTCCAGATGTCAGGGTATTAAAGCATAAAGGCTCAGTGGAGTCCCAGAAAATATTAGAATCTTCAGGATATGTGCCTTTGAGTGTTCTCATCTGAGCAGCGAAGGAGACAGCCCTCGGTGTTCTTTTGTACATCCGAAAGGGAGCTCTTACTGTTCCTTATTTCTGCCCTTTAGCGTGGCTCCAAATTCAGCACGCAGAGTAATCCGCCACCATGTCATGAAATTATTATTATTTATTATTCGGAGTATCCAGAATGACTTCCATGCTGGGTTTGTAAAGAGATGCTTAAAAATCCATATGGCTGCATGGGAGCAATTTCTTTGCATATTCTGAGTAGTTTAACTGTTTCAGCTCCTGATCCTACAAACATGGATGTAACTTTACTCACCTAAATAGCTCCCTCACATGTGTATAAGTGTGTGTTGGATCAGAGCCTTAAGGGCTTCAGCTATTCTATACCTTTTTCTTCTCATCGTTAATAAACCCCATCAATTTCTTCAGAAAAATTACAATTGTTTTCTACATTGCAATAATACAACCTTGCATGACCTCAAAGATTCTCCACACATTTTACAAACTTTGATTCATGTTGGATTTATAATACCCCTGTGGGGTAGTCATGTATTCTTATACCCATTGTACAGAATGTGGCACAGAAGCTGTGATTTGCCCAAGCCCCAAGGTCATGCATTGAATCCCTGCATAAACACCAGGAGTTCTGACAGCCAGTCCCTTAGTTTAAAAGCTACACAGCCCTGCACAGACTAGTTCAAAAGTAAGCTTGTATTAACTAGAGCCAGTTAAAACGTGTGTTTTATTTTCAATTTGGTTTTTGTTGTTGTTTCCCATCAAAAATGTTTGCAGGGTTTTTTTGAGTTTTCATTGAAAATCTAAAATCATCCAAAAAAAATAATAATAATAATGCAGAAAATGGAAATTTTGCAAAAATCTCCATTAAACTAAAAAAGTCATGTTTTTTTGGAGAAAATCTTCAATTAAAAGTTTTTGACTAGCTGTACATCCGAACCACTTGATGTTAGGATAGAGATGGCATATAGCTTGGGTTACTTGTAATGAACATTAATAAAAGAGTTAAATA